TGGCCATGAGCATACTTCCATTCTTTTGGTAGATTTGAGTCATTTTCTGGAAGAGCATATATTTCTTGAAGTTTCTCCATTGTCATTTCTTCGTCATGTTCGCGTAATGGATTTTCTTCATTTTCTTTTTTATAAATGCTCTCCATGCTTGGTTGATTTTCTACAATATCATTACTGAGGGACCCTCTTTTGAATTGTCTAGGCATGGTGCACTACCTCTTAGTGCAGTCCGGATCTTTGGATCCCTTTTGGTGTATATTTTCTTTGGATGGGTGCTATATTTGTGTTTTGTAGTTATTGCACCTTCTCTGGTCTTAGTCTCAAAATTGGCAAAAAAATTCAGGGTTCTGCTAGAAGTCATCTATAGCTTACACAACAAACATGGATAAATATAGTCATTTGGCAATTCAGATACATATCACACAGAGAAAATTATGTTTGCTGTGTCATATACACTCATCTAAATTTTAAAGTAATTATTTTTTAAAATTTTAAAAGAATTAAGTAATTATTTTTAAAATTTTTAAAAGAATTACAATTGGGACAAAGCCCGATATGACTTCTAATTTTAACATTTTTTCTTATTAGATAGATAAAGACATTATCAACCATGTCAACTCCACCAGCCTTGGTTGCCCATAATAACAATTGATTTTTGTTCGGAAGTATATACATGAAGACTTGGTTTTTGTTCAAAAATTGATAGAAATTGATATCCGAATGAAAAGCACCAAAATTTTATAGAAACCATTGGATTCTCAATTTCTTTTCTTTTTGAAATTGTGAAAGAATCTTCTATATTCATTCTCAGTAGCCCCTCACCCTTAGGTATGACTCTTTTCTTCAATAGATGACTACATGGATTTGTAGTTAGAAAAAAAAAAAAAAACTACCTTTTGTTTGGTCCTCTACTATATTAGTTTATATTGAATATTTTTGTCTAATATACGTTAATGCATTGCAAATTATGGTTAAAAAAATGTAACTATAGTCGACATTATTTGTCTAAATTTTTGTACATAATATTTGTAACCCTCTCCGTCCCTGCTCATAGGGGTTGTCATTTGAACTTTGAACTTAAGAGTTACAATGGTTGCTGCTGCAACATTTGGTGCTACAAACACTACCACCGCTACTGCCGCCAACAAAGAGTACGATTATTATCGTTCCTTCAATCATGAGAAGAGCTCATGCTCATTGCTCACACCACCTAGACATCATCACAACTCTCCTCTTCGTAGTCGTTTATTTCCTCATCGTAAATTAACACCTATGACAACTTCTTCATTGGCCATCCCAGGTGAATAGTTTTAATTTTAGGTTTATTTTTCTTTTTAAATTTAATATGAAAACTATTTGTGTGTTAATCATGTCTATCTAATTTATTTATTTTTAGGCTTTTGGCCTAATGTTGGAGTGGGTGTGAGCAGTGAAGCTGATCGTTCTCGGACCCAATCTTTGTCGTTCGCATGCACAACAGCTGTTTGACATTTGACGGGATCTCTTACTGCAACTGAGGGCCTTCGCTTTGCTGTGGTCAGTCTATTTATTTTTTATGTCCACCCCTCTCTTGTTATTTAGCATTTGTTTGAATGAGCATATGGGATTTATTCAATTTCATCAATGAATGATTCATTTTGTGCTTATATGCATATATTTTATGCATAATGTACTATGAAATTCTATTTCTAGCTGTGCATTCATGTTTTTCAGTTCTATGTTGGTCGCATTTCCACATTTTCCCTGAACATTCAAATATATTCCAATTTCTGGCCATGTAACAATGTGTTCTACTTTGTCTCTTCATATTAATGCTCTCATTTCATTGCAATTGGTGGTTATGCCTTAACAAAATTTTACAACCTCTTCATTCACAACACCTCTCTCTCCCCTACGAATGACTCTTTTAAAATTATGTAGTTTTTATTCATTTACTTTTTGCTCCAAAAAAAAAAAAAAAGAAAAAAACAAGAGGAAAGTAAAGAAAGACCAGAAAAAAATTCTTCAAGGAGGAAGAGGAGGCTCTAATACCATGTTAGCTTCACAGATGAAGAAGAAGAGGAAGAAGAATGAACCGACAGAGAGAGAGAGAAGCAGCTGCTGTAATATTATTTCAATGATAATAGGGTTACAACTTAAGCATACGTATTTAGGCTAAAACCATAATCATAAGCTAAAGTACTAAACTACCCTTAGATAACAATAACACTTAACACTCGGCAATATTGAAATCACCAAGAAGGATCCAAGGATCTTGATCAGATACAGAAAAAGATCTACTAGAGAGCCCATTCCAAAGCATATCTCTCAGTTCCCTTTTATTAGTACCATAAATAATAGAAGCAACAAAATGGATACTGAGATGTTTATGGGAAACTTTAACAGCAACAACCTGATCAGCAGAGCTAAGAACTTGGACATTAAGAATAGCCTCATCCCACAAGATAATGATTATAGCCACATCATTCCTAAAAGATTTCAGAGAGGGAGAAATGATATTAGCAACAGCAGATAAATTGAATTTTTTAACCTTGGTTTCCTCTACACCAAGGTCCACTTTATTCTCCAAAAGGAACTTAGCAATACTAGACCGCTTTAAAGGGTGATTTAAACCCTTGATGCTCCAAGTTGCAGCATTCATCTAAAATTTTTGGGGGGTATCTGAGACCTAGCGGGAATTGCTATATTCTTTCCCTCATTGCTATTAGAAGCAGGAAGATTAAGGGCATCTCTAGTTACTGCGGGAATGGAATCTTTGGCTTTTTTCCTACCTTTCCTCCCCTTAATAGGAGATGAAGGAGGGGGAACATTATCATCACAAGCCTCATTATCATGACTGTTACGTATCCAAATCAAAATCAGGAATAGCATCAACGCAGTCACTGGCAAACTAAGCAAGACCACGAAACTGATTTGTGGATGGATCATCCTTAACAGGAATAGAGCTAAGTTTTGAAGGAGTAAAAGTTGCAAACAACTGCAGAAGTAGAAGGCTCAGACAGGGAAATCATCACCAGGAGATTGGCAACCAATAACGATTCAGAAGGACTAGGTTTATCTGGCTCAGAAGAGATAATGGGGTCAGTCTCATCAAGCTTAGGTCTCCATTCCTGCCTTATAGCCTGGTACAATCAGAATTCCCATGATTGCACACCATTAGCCCATCCACTAATCTACCCAAAACATCAGCCACCAAGGTAAAGAAAAATGGGGAGATAGGGCCACCCTGCTTCAATCCCCTTGTAGCCTTAAAGCACTTCTCACTTGATTGTTAGCAATAACAGAAAAGTGACAATTTTTGGTCCAAATATAAGTGGAAGAATATGGACTACTCTGTCATAGATCTAGTACATAGATTTAGCTCCATTAGGTGGAGGGGTGGCTAGCACCAGCCATTGTATGCTCTGTCTGCTGTTAGCACTCTATGTTCTTTTTTATTGGTTGAATTCTCTTACTTCAGGATAGTGCTGCAAATGATTGGGCAAAGGCTTCGGTGCCAACCTAGTTGGGATGAAATTGTTTTGCTTTGATGCTTAGAGGATGAACCCTCCTCTTGTATTGCCTTTCCTTTATTGATGTTTGATGTAAGGTTCTCCTGATTCTAATAAATAAAGGCATTCTTTTTGCTGATAAAAAAAAAAGAAAAAAAGAAAAGTGACAAGATGGCAAACAACCCATAATCCACTTCCTCCACCTCCACCTCCACCTCCACCCGCACCCGCACCCCCTTTCTCCTTTTTTCCATAACAAAATCTTAAAAACCCCAATCAACATGTTCATTAGCTTTTTTAAAGTCAAACTTAAAAGTAACTCATTAATTATTTATACTCTCCAGTGCCTCATTTGCTATCAAGACTACTTCTAAAATCTGGTAAACCTCCACAACAAACATCATGAGAAAAGGAAATAGTACCATTCAAAACCTCCCTCATTTTTCTAGACAAAACCTTTGCCATAATTTCATAAATGATGAATTGTTTGGTTTGGAGTTTTCAAAAACAGTTTTATGAGTTTTCATTTCGTATTTTTTTTTTCAGTGATTTTTTTAACATTTTAACCATTTTTTTAAAAAACTTTTTATATCTACTTAATCTAAATATACTAAAAAAGTGCAAAATTTGGGAATTAAGCAAATCAAAGTAGCATTAGTGAAAGCATCGACACCCATAGTGAATTACAAATTCATCATGGGTGTTTTTCATTTTCTCATAGCGGCTATCAACTTTAGATCTTGTCTATGAAGCTATGTAAATATTGTTTACAAGTAACCAATCAATTTCCAAACATGTTGCACTTATGCATTGAAATTTATACTCCAACCATGTTGATCTTAGTAGATCCTTCGGATTTGAAAATCGCACATTGTTGTTTTGAAAAATCATTGATGTTTAGAAAGTTAATAGGTTGAACACCATTTCTTGTACTCCTAGCAGGGTAAAACAAAAGTTTATATGTAAATTGGGACTCACATAGCTGCATGGACCAAAAGGGAAGAAGAAACAACAATAAATCTCCATGAGTTGTTCATACATACTATTTAAGAATGATTGGTGACTTAGAAGGACAAAGAAGCCCTTACCAAAGACAAATTCTACATTTTGCCAAACTTTTTGAGCGGAGCTATTCTCTATATCAAGCTGCAACACAATCAACATAGAATATAAAAATCTTTCACAATCAAGAAAATCAAGACACGTCAGAATTCAAATAAAGCACCAAGCTATCCACTAATAGTAAATGCTCCAACATGTATTCAGAAAAAATAAAGAAAGAAAGAAAGAAAAGAAAAGGAATAGATGTGACTTCTATGAGTTAGTTATTCAACTTTGTTGAACTCAACAGCCCACAATTCTAATCACTTGGGGTTAGCTTCATGGGTTTTTCTTATCTAATCGGCTCTATAAAGGGCCCCAGTAATTACTAATAAAAAATATTAATATTTTTGCTTTAAAGGTAGTCCCAATATCTTTTATGACATTAGCAGAAAATAAATATTAATAGGAAAACTCTATTCATACATAAAATTCATACCAAAAACAAAAATCACAAGAATGATGCAGCAATGGCATTTTTGTAAATATAAGTCATCTTCATGGGTGCTCTATTTTAAAATGAAAAGTCCCTATTGGGCCACTTCATTATGTATGAAAATTCTATATGAATTTTTTGTTTGTTTATCATTGCTCATATTATTAATGGCTAACATAATTATGAAAATTTAAACGTATTCTTCACTGCATCTTGTATAAAAGGTTATGTAGCTCATTTTGTAGTATTAGTTAGTTACTAAGTAGTGCTTGTGTATGTGGTCTGTCCCATGCCTATAAATAGGTGTTTGGGCTCCTAATGATGGACTTTTAGACATAATGAGATCCTATTTTTTTAATCTTAGTGCTCTTTGTACCCAGTTTGGGACCTTCTCTCTTTAATGAAATTGATTTCTGACCACACATACAAGTACTACTTATTAACTAACTACATCAGAACTCCTCCCTTTTTCAAGAACCTGTCCTAAAGTTGGAGCAGCAAACTAGACAACTCAACTGGTACATCAACAAGATAACCTTCCTTAATTTGAAGTTCCCACTAATGCATATCAACATCAGCCTTGTTCAAATGTGAATAACCTACCCATTTAGCATCCCTCTCTCTTGTGAGCCAAAATGTCATCAAAATAGAGTAGCACACAATACTCGAGGCTTGCCAAAAAAAATAGTCAGTGCTGCACTAATATTGGATACTAGGGATTCCTATCCTTCTCATTGCCTATGACCGGTGAAAGCTAAACTGTTGTTTGAATCTTATTAGCTTTTTTTTTAGAAACTTCAGTGAGTGAGGTTGTGGAGGTAGATTCCATGCCCTCTGTTTGATGTTGGATGTAGACACCGTGAAGCAAGTACTTATAAAGAGAAATGTAGAAGGGCCATGTGAACAAATTTTTGGCAGGTGTTCACCGACTTCATTGTATTTCTCATACTTGGGGATTTAATAAGAATCCTTGGTATAGACAGGAATTTCAGCAGGTTGAGAATGATCCTCAGTTAATTAACTAGGATATAAAGGGGGAAAAAAAAAATTAATGACAGACACATGGCTGGTAAACTCAACTAGGTGTTGTCCAATGTTACAGTAGTAATTAAGGCATACATGAGGGGTTGGCTAGTGAGGTTCCAGCAGATGAACATGGGCTCTATGTCTTCGAAGAACACAATCCAGTGACCTGAAACCCACGAGTCCCAAGCAATGTTGTCTACAGGCTAATCTAAATGCTAATTTGGATTTTCCTTAGCCAATAACCTACATAAATGTCCCCGCTACTTCAATTTTAAGATTCCTATGAAACACCCCCACGCCCTCTATATGCTTGATTAAATTAAATAAAGGGAAAACTTAAAAAAATAAATTAATTAATTCAATTAAATTAAAAAAAGAAAAAAAAAAAAACACTCCAGGGTTTGGCACTTATAACAAATCAAATCCTTGGTTTTTAATTCCTTCAATTTAAACCTGATTTTTTTTTATTTGATTACAATCTCAACCATATGTCTGTTTTCATTAACTATAACAAACGGAGAATGAGTGTTTTTGTCATTACACCTAACATTTTATTAGCAATTTAGCGTGCTACTATTAGCACCCCATTTATTATTTTGAGCCCCCCATTTTTTTACTTTTTTTTTTTTATATTACAATAATAACCTTAAATGAAATTACTAAAGAGGACATCAATCATTTTGGGGCACCTCATCTCACAATTAAGCCCGCACCCACTGAATCATGAGATAGGGTTTATCCAAGCACCCACTTCCATCACCACCCAACCATGTTAGCCTAAATTTATAGTGGTCAATTATTTTTAATTGTTGAAATTAAAATGTTTTAATTTATAATTCTAAATTCCTTATTCTATGAATTTTGGTACATACCGTTGTTTCGATAATAACAGCAACTAAATTCATGATGAGAACAAAGGCTACTATGTATTCAAACATAGGACTTCGAGCAAAGGTTTTCAACTTCTTAGATAATGATGAATTGTAGATTGTTGGAAATTTTTCGAACCATGGTAGCTGCAAACAAAAAACACAACATGAAAGATGCAACGTACAACCTTTGTTTTAAAAATTAATAATAAAAAGGTTGTATAAAGTATTGTTTAGGTTTCAGATCTAGATAAAGGCTGCTTACTGAATCTTCCTTTTGAAATCGTAGTCCGATGGCATTGCAAAGGTCAGCAAATTCATCCAAATTAATCTACAGAAAATTACACAAGAGTCCAGAAAATAATCAGAAACAGACTAAAAGAAGTAAGCAATCAAAAACACTATTAGTTGATAAGTAATAATAATTTTAACTACGTATCGGTATAGCCTAAATGTCAACCAGAAAATGCAAGAAAATGAGAGGTCAACATTGAAAGGTATTGACAAAACTATAAGCATGATCTACAAAAAAACAAAAAACAAAAAAATACAAAATACAAAACAAAATAGAAAGAAAGATGGTGTTGGAAGACAATTTGCACAAATCATACAATTTACCTACAATTCTCACAAAAAAAAGTATCTGATGGCAAACAAGAAAGTAATTTGCTTCAAGAACCCAGTGAGAAAGATGTCAAATGAGGGCTAGCTACCCCAATTCTGGTTCATATGAGGGTTCATTGAGAAAGATGTCATAGTCCCTGCCAAAAATTCTCCTCGAACCACAACAACCCTATGTGTTATTTTTTTTCTCTTTTCTGTTTTTATTATCTCTCCATTTTCAACCTTATTGTCATACTACAAAATTCAACTATTATAAATTTATATTTATAATGTATATTTATATTGATAGATTGTAGAAAACAAATTAAACTTAATATTTGAAAGGATGTGCAATAGTACAATAAATCAAATATGTTTCCATATCGTAGCAAAGTGGCATCATGGTCCAGTGGTTCAATTGCGAGCTCTCTAGCACCCAGGTCTCGTGTTCGAGCAATTGTAGTTGTAGATTTTACAAATTGGCAGCTTCAAAGACACACACGTTGGATGGTTGGAGTACAATGGTTTCCTTGAACTAGCTCCAGTTCGAATGATTGGCTGATTCAATTGCGGTTCTTGCCGGTTGTGCAAAAATAAGCCGGTTTTCAATCTGCAACAGGTTTGGTGGTTCATCTGAAACGGAACCATGACCGGTCAATGGGTTAACCAGTTGAACCGGCCAGTCCGGTCCGATTTTCAAAACATTGGGCGATAGGAGATTCTATTTTTGGACACCACTTTCACTCAGTTCACACACCATTTTTAGCTTGGATATCAACTTCTGAACAAAACTACATAGCTCAGAAATCAACTTCTGAACCAAAGAAATAGCCAAACCACAAGTTTTCATTTGGAAGTTGATTTTCTAAACTTGTAATTTTGTTCAAAAGTTTATATTCAAACCAAAAAAATGTGTGGACAAAGAGAAAGTGGTGTGGAAATAGAAGTTCCCATCGGTGGGCCTCACAATCTAGGATCTTTTATTTTCCCACACCACATCTCAGTTTACAAATTTTTTGGTTTGGATATCAACTTTTGATTAAAATTACATGGTTCAAAAATTAACTTCAGAACAAAACCTTATGATTCGGCTATATCTTTGGTTCAAAAGTTGATTTCCAAATCAATGGTTTTCGTTTGGAAGTTGAATTCCAAACTAGAAGTTGATTTTCGAACCATGTAGTTGTGTCTGAAAATCAACTTTTGAATCAAAACGATGTGTGAACCGATAGAAAGTTGTGTGTGGAAATAGAAGGTCCCTTACAATCCATGTCTAGCAATTTGCAAAACTAAATAAATACCCCTCACTATTAAAACCTAATGAAAATCTATAAAATTTGTTCATCGATGTTTTAATCTATGGAATACATGAAAATGACATTCAAATCAATCCCAAACAAGTTAATAGAAATCCAAAGTATGGTCCATGTCAAATTCCAAATTTTCCCTCTTTTATCCTTCCATGCTTCGTATCAATGTCTCAATAAGATCTCACAATTGATTCTATTGAATATCTATGTGCATCAGTGCAGATAAACTAAGATCAACAAAAGCAAATAAAATGCCAAAAAGGAGTGATAGGCATATTAAACTTTAGAGTGGCAACCCCAAACGAAGTCGAAAAAATGCATGTCAAAAGTTCTTATATACCTCAAAATTAAAAAGGATGGAGAAAAAGAAAAATATGAAAAAAAAAATTCACTGCAACCAAAAGCTTACATAAAGAAAAAAATACCTTGAAGTCATGACTGTCATCCAGCTCATCAAATATTAACTCAAAATCTTCTCTCGATATTTTAGGCAATGTCCTAATTAAGTAATAGAGGAAGCAATGCTTCAATATTCTATAGATCAAGTGACCAAGTAGTGATACAGTCATAAGATACATATTTGAAACAAGAATATCCCTCAGGTAAGGAGTCAGCCTCACAAACAAAAAACTTCATATTAAATGAGAACCATAAAGTTCATTTGAGAAATCCATCACCTAGGTGTCCATATCTAGAACAAAAAATCAGCAGCACTGAGTTAGGATTTATGTTTCTTAAGCCAAAAGCATAAGTGAAGCATAAGCCTGAAGGCAGCAAAAAGGCATGAACTCTTTAGCAGGTTTCATAATTAACATTTTCACTCACAGTGTGTATTGCTCTCTCTTTTCCTCCATTTTCTCCATATTCATTCTTCATTCCAAATTTTAATTCTACAAACCACTAAAATAACAATATTCTGTTTTCCTATGCTCACTAATTTGTCAAGATAGATTATGATGGGACAAATTTGAAGGTGCTTTAATCACTTCCATAATTCACACTGAACTAGAGTTATTATAGGCATTCTTCAATACGACACTAGTTGGATAGAAACAACATAAGAAAAGTAACGGAACCTCATTACTAGGATTGTGATGGCTAGCAATGAGATTCCTGGTGTCATTGGATTCAATGAATTGGACAAGGCAGGAGTTTCTTCATAAATTTTTTTTCCATTCCAATTATAATATATTTTCAATAATGAAAATAGGCTTCTTATAACAACAATCTAAATTTTTACTACTAAACAATAAAAAGTAATTACTTTTCTACCATTTGATATAATAATTTAGTTCAATTAATATTGTGAAGAAAAAATGTCTAGAGACCCCCTTAGTTATTTTGTGTTCGCAATTTCATTCCAAAGATTGAGTCTGTAATTTTCATTTTTAACTTAATTGAGTCTTGAGCAGTTTTGCAGTTGAAATTCAAGATTGCAGACTCGAGCTTAGAATGAAAAAAGAAGACATACTCTTTGTGAAGATAAAACTTGTGCATTTTCATTAACATCATTTGGTAGGCTTTATATATTTTACTTCATCTGGATAACTTGTGTTTTACTACATTGAGTTCATAATCATAGATAATTTAGTTTTGGACTATTGGTTAAAAATTAAGAAATGGGTTTCACATTAGGACCCTTCACCTTGTTTGGTTTCAATTTTCAGGATTCAATTTTTTGAAAATTGAGTATTTTTTTTTTTTTAGTGAATATTTTTAAAATTTTATGCAATTTTTCTACTTTTTAGATGCACCTTACATAGATGTACCTAAAAAATAAAATATTTGTAAAAACATATTTTAAAAAATCAATAAATACACAAGAATACGAAAATGTACTGAATTTTCATTTTTGTTATTTTATATTTAGTATTTAGTGAATTTTTTAAAAGATTTTTTTCCACAAATATTAGATTTTTTAAGTGTATTTATGTTAAGTGTATCTAAAAATTAAAAAAACTACTTAAAATATTAAAAAAAAAAATTCAATGAAAACAAAAAAAAAACGGAAAACAAAAAAATTCAATTTTTTGAAGCGTGAATCCAGAAAATTAAAACCAATTTGCATCTTCTGAACGCACGCTAGGACCATTTGAATGAGCATGGGCTTAAAGTAATGTATCAATACCATTACATTGCCCAATTGAATGCAAGGTGGTCCATTCAAATGCAGGACACTACTTTAGATTGTTTTGCACATTATTCTAGTGTAGTATGTCCACCATTTGAACAAAGTGTCCTGCCATTTGAATGCATGCGTACTATAAAGCACGAACACCTCTCCGAAGGCAACATATGGATGTCTGACACGTGTTGGACATGGACACACATCGGACACACGTCGGACACTCTATCTAACATGTCCCTCTTTTCTTTTCTTTTTAAATTTTTGCAACCAGACACGCTTAGGACACTCTTGGACACATTATGGACGTGGTGGAGATAGACACACACACACACACACACATACACACAGAGGGTGAAATCGAAGCAAGAAACTAGGAAAAAGGGAGAAGTCAAAGCACTTATCCAACATCATTCGAGTCCAGGAACAACATCGTGCAGCCCAAATTGCTTGAAAATCAAAGTCAACTTTGGTGCAAAATCCAGGCAAACTCGAACAAACAAATCAAACCCAGATTTGATTCAGGCACACGAATCATCTGCGAACTTGAATCGACCCAAGATTCACAACCCAGATTGCAAAAAGGTCTTGAAAGTCGAGATTTAGGTCGAAACTGTGAGTCAATGAGTCCCAGCTAGTTGCGAACCCCAAATCATGACTCTCTCTCTTGCTTTCTCTGTGTGTTCAACTCTCTCTCTCTATTCGTTTTTTCTTTTCTTATTTTTCCTCTCTCTGTGATGATAAACCTTTTTTTTTTTGACAAAAACCTTTTGTTCCCTCTTTTCCTTTTTTTTTTGTTTTTTTTTGGATATTCTTGTTTGCTAAACATTAACATATATAGAATAAATTATTTTTATTTGTAGAAAAAAATTAATTTGTGAATGATATTTGATATTAAAGTAAATAAACAAATAATAAAAACAATATATATTTTTAATTTTACATATAATAAATAAATAAATAAATAAATAAAATTATATATATTGAGAGTGTCCCTAGCATGTCTCGTTCCCTATTTTTCAAAAATTTGTATATCTGAGTGTCCGTGTTGTGTATCGTGTCCCGTGTCTATGTCCGTGCTTTATAGCATGCATATTTAGAGCATGCGTTTACGCATCTAGAATAAAATTCTGATGATTCAGTATTCCTTATCCACTTAGGTTTTCATATTACTATATATTGTTCCGTTGATTTCAAGTTAGGGTTACCCTAGAGCATACATTAGGTATATGGGAAATTCGAGAGAGCATCGAATAGTCCAACATATCATCTTTCATAGTAGTGAGAAAGTTGTTTAGATCTAGTGAGTGTAGGAATATGTTCCTTTGGTGCATATAAATTTAGGGCATATGCATTGATCATTGCTTAATTTGATTGTGTTCTTGTGGTGGATTAGACGTGGGTAGCGAAGATAAGCTTACTACAAGGTAGGTACGAACTACGGAACTACTCTGAATTTCAAGTAGGTAGGATCTCAGCATATGAATGTTGTAAGTTGTACTTGATCTTTGATTATTAATAGATGCATTTGCTTCGTGTGTTTTTTACCAAGTTTTGCGTTTTCAAGTTAAAACCTTATCTCTCTTATGATGGCTCTATCTTATTTTTTGAAGAAATTTAATGTATAAAGAGAAATAGAGAATTGTATTATTGATTGATTGTATATTGAATGTTATGTATATATTTTGTACAAGAATTCCTATTATATAGGAGATGATTCTGGAGTAGGTGAGGAGTGAGTGGTGGAGGTAGGTTTGGTGGAGTGTAGTAGGTGATAGGAGTAGTAGGTGGAGGTAGGTTTGGTGGTAGGTGTAGTAGTAATTTACATTTACATTAACAGCCCCCCTCAAATTCAAGGAGGATAGGTACTAACCAACTTGAGTTTGGAGAGAGTAACAAAACAGAAAAATAAGCTAACAAATAAAATTAAAAAATGGGATAGGAGACACTGTATGGTCGTGTCGGACCGTTGTAGCAGACAGTTTACGGGGTCATGTCGGACCGTTGTAGCAGACACTGTGTGGTCGTGTCAGACCGATGTAGAAGACAGTTTATGGGGTCATGTCGGACCGTTGTAGAAGACAGTTTACGGGGTCCTGTCGGACCGATGTAGCAGCTGACCGGAATCAATGTCGGGACAGTTTATGGGGTCATGTCGGACCGATGTTGAAGACAGTTTACGGGGTCATGTAGCAGCTGACCGGAATCAATGTCAGGACAGTTTATGGGGTCATGTCGGACCGATGTTGAAGACAGTTTACGGGGTCATGTCGGACCGGTGTAGCAGACAGTTTACGGGGTCATGTTGGACCGTTGTAGCAGACACTGTGTGGTCGTGTCAGACCGTTGTAGAAGACAGTTTATGGGATCATGTCGGACCGTTGTAGAAGACAGTTTACGGGGTCATGTCGGACCGTTGTAGCAGACAGTTTACGGGGTCATGTCGGACCGATGTAGAAGCTTGTGGTGGTGCACCAAGGGGGCGACTTAGGGAGTGCACATACCTTCAGTTTCCTGCATCTTCCAACTCTCTTCCCTCTGACCCGCCGATCTTGATTCTTTCCTGGAGGAACTTTTCCAGTGATGCGATCTCCATGATCTTATCCTCCACCGGCTTCGCACAGTCGATCACGAACATCGCTCCCTTCTTCTTCCCCTTCGCTCCAGCTGCTGCTCCTTGACTCATCTTCATCATGATACTGATACACATATACCAACCCAGAGCATTCCCGCTGCTGCAACTCCGATCGCGACCACCATCTTCATCCTTGAATTACCCTCTTCCACAACTGCAGCCACAAGCACATGTTCAAGTGCCAAAACAGCAACACCCTGTTTTGTTGTCTTCACAGGGTCAGCAACGATCCACACAACCCTCCCATCACTAGCTCCGCCATCGCCGTCGCCGACGCAACCCACGCCCTACTCCCGCCCTCAAGCACTCTTCTTTCTTCCAGCTTGCACCAATCGGCTCTACTGGACGACCCTCTTGCCAATCTCGATCACGCTCGGGCTCCTTCAGGGCCTTAATGACCAGCGCCGCCGCGGACGGCCCGACGGAGACCTTGGCCTGGCGGTTCTGCACCGTGAGCTTCACCGTCACTCGGAGGCCCTTCCAGTCCTCGGCTCTGGAGACCTCCATGTCTTCTCCGTTTTGTTTGCTCGTCCTAGCTCCTGCCTAGGTTGATTACTTGAATTTGCAGCTTCCTGAGAGGCCGCCACCATCTCCTTTTTTGTTTTGAAAAGAAGAGATAAAAAAAAAAAAAAACAAACAAACAAACAAACAACAAAGTAGTAATCACGTGGGTAGCCTTTCTTGGGGCAAGACACCCACTCAATCTCTCTCTCTCTCATCCTTTTTGAAAACACACATTATTCTTCTCTCATCCATTCACGCTTTACACACCTCACCACCCCATTTCTTTTTCTTTTTTTTTTTATTTTATTTTAGCACACATAAAATAAAAAAAACCACCTAGGCCAATGGGGATAAAGATCAAGATGGCTTTGTCACGCGTGCAGGTAGCAGACCATGTGTATTGTGCTTTAGCTTAAAAGGTGTACTCACCGTGCGTGAGTGGTCACTTGGTATTATTTTAATTTGTTTTTTAACAAAAAAAAAAAAAAAACAAAAAAACAAAAAAAAAAAACAAAAACAAAAACAAAAACCCAAAAAAAAAAAAAAAAAAAAAAAAAAAAAAAAAAAACCAAAGAAGAAGACGGACTGCACACCAAACTCATTTTATTCATGTCAGGGCTCACCCCGATCACCATTTTACACCACCAAAAAAAAAAAAAAAAAAAAAAAAAAAAAAAAAAAAAAACAAACAAACCAAAACAACCACAACCACCGTGGGATTTTTCTTTTCCCTTCTCTACTCTACTGCAGGTCTTTTCTTCTTACTTTTCTCTTGGTTGTCCCGTGCCAGTCCAGTCTCCGTGCTTCCTACTCCACCGAGCACGTTCACTCCTCCCTGCTCCTCCACTGCAGCATATGGCGGACCTCCAAATCGGAACATCACGGTGGCCTTCCGCTTCAGCTCCTTGTTTTCTGCCCTTAGCACGCTTATCTCTGCTCGCGCATCCTTATACATGCGTTGGAGCAGAGCCAGCTGGGAGTTTAATTGCTGCACCTCATTTGTCCTACTCTGCAGCCGGTGCGACAAGTTTGTGACTGCCGTCATCGTCTCCACACAGGACTTCAAAGTATACTGATTGGCTTCAATTTCAGTTTGCACTGCCATTTTTTGCTCCACAGACCGCATAGGAAAGTTCAACGGAGCAAACCCTGGGGCGCTTGGTTGAGGTTCACTGGCCCCCGCACCAGTTATATCTCTTGTTGACTCGTTAAGGTCTGGAAAGAGAGTGAGCAGACCACGGGAAGACGAAGCCATTTTCTGGATTACAGAGTGTCTCTCTCAGGAATCTCTCTCAGAAAACAGAGTGTTACAGAGTATCTCTCTCAGAAATCTCTCTCAGCAAAGGAAGAGTTTTTTTCAGAGGTTTTTCGCAGCTTTTCTCTGCCTCAGCCTCAGCATCAACCTTGGTTAAATAGCCAAGGCAGCCACACGCATCGCGCGCCTCTTGCCACCAGCCGACAAACGGGCACGCAAGCCAAGGCGCCCACGTGCCTCGCCATCATGTCCGGCACACCTTTTGATGAATTGGGCACGCCTTTTGATGGCACGCCTTTTTATGGATTGGGCACGCCTTTTGAAAAATTGGGCGCACCTTTTGAGGATGCGATTTTTTAATGGGTCCGACAAGACTCTGTAAACTGTCCCGACATTGATTTCGGTTAGCTCCTTCAGGGGTCCGACAAGACTCTGCAAACTGTCCCGACATTAATTCCGGTTAGCTCCTTTATGGGTCCGACAAGACTCTATAAACTGTCCCGATATAGATTCCGGTTAGTTTCTACAAAGGTCCGACAAGACTCTGTAAACTGTCCCGACATTGATTCCGGTCTCACCTACTCCACTAAACCTAACCCACTACACCACTACCATCTCACCTACTCCACTAAACCTAACCCACTACACCACTACCATCTCACCTACTCCACTAAACCTAACCCACTACACCACTACCATCTCACCTACTCCACTAAACCTAACCCACTACACCACTACCATCTCACCTACTCCACTAAACCTAACCCACTACACCACTACCATCTCACCTACTCCACTAAACCTAACCCACTACACCACTACCATCTCACCTACTCCACTAAACCTAACCCACTACACCACTACCATCTCACCTACTCCACTAAACCTAACCCACTACACCACTACCATCTCACCTACTCCACTAAACCTAACCCACTACACCACTACCATCTCACCTACTCCACTAAACCTAACCCACTACACCACTACCATCTCACCTACTCCACTAAACCTAACCCACTACACCACTACCATCTCACCTACTCCACTAAACCTAACCCACTACACCACTACCACCTCCACTTCACCTACTCCTTACCTACTACACACTCACCCTCTTCTATATATAGGAATCATGAATCATTGTAATAAAAATTAACATATATCAATCAATAATACATACAATTTATTCTCTCTCTCTTTCTCTATACATTATTTCTTACATCTAGAATAAAATTCTGATGATTCAATATTCCTTATCCACTTAGGTTTTCATATTACTATATATTGTTCCGTTGATTTCAAGTTAGGGTTACCCTAGAGCATACATTGGGTAAATGGGAAATTCGAGAGAGCATCGTATAGTCCAACATATCATCTTTCATAGTAGTGAGAAAGTTGTTTAGATCTAGTGAGTGTAGGAATATGTTCCTTTGGTGCATATAAATTTAGGGCATATGCATTGATCATTGCTTAATTTGATTGTGTTCTTGTGGTGGATTTGACGTGGGTAGTGAAGATAAGCTTACTACAAGGTAGGTACGAACTACGGAACTGCTCTGAATTTCAAGTAGGTAGGATCTCATCCTATGAATGTTGTAAGTTGTACTTGATCTTTGATTATTAACAGATGCATTTGCTTCGTGTGTTTTTTACCAAGTTTTGCTTTTTCAAGTTAAAACCTTATCTCTCTTATGATGGCTCTATCTTATTTTTCATATTTAAATTGGTTAATCACTTCGATTAATCTAATTAAATCTATTTGGATTCAAAGATTCATGTTTGGTTTCTTTTAACTAAAGAACAACCAAGGCTATTTCAGTTACTATTACTAAAAATTTGTTTCTCAAAACGTGCCTCAATTGATATCAGAGCAAGAATCTTTTGGTTTAACATTTTTTATGGGTTAATATAATCACAAATAATTCAATCACTAAATCACCTATTGGTGATGGCTTGATCTCCTCTTAATGGAAAACACATATGCGAATCTTTTTACAATGTCTTGAGATGAACGTGTTTGGATGTCTACAGAGGAAGGTTGGAGTTGCCCTACCGTGATTGTTGATCTTTTGATGGCCATTAAAGCCAAGTCTACTAGGACTGTGCCTGAGTTTGCTTTGCAAGCTTTAACTCCAAGGCATTGAATGCCATATCTGTTGGAGTGTCTCCTAATAAGTTCCTAGAAGTCACACATGAGGGGAAATCAACTCCCAAAAACCTAAACTGCAGCTCATTATCACTCAATTTAAAACATTATAATGAAGGATCATGAGACCTTTTCAAAGTTTTACACTCAATGATATAGTGACCAAAAAGTGTCATAACCTAGGCAAGATAATGAAAGAACAAAAATTGTTAACAATTTTAAGAACAATACCTGATAGGTTTTTAACTAAGGTCACTGCAGTAGAAGAGTGTAGGAATGTGTCTAAACTTGAAGTATAAGAATTTGTGGGCATACTACAAACTTTTTAGATGCCATTCAAGCCATCCCAAAAATCCAAGCACATAGGTTTAAAAGATTTAGTAGATGAGGATGACAAAGACTCTAACGTAGAAGATATGGCCTTGCTCACAACATACGGAAAAATATAAATAAACTATAAAATAAAATATTAAGGTTAAACAAAGAAATAAATTTAAGTCTAAAATCATCAGGATAGAATGCTAGCTCCAAGGAAAAAAAAAAGAAAGAAAAAAAATAAAAAGAGAAATTCTAAAAAGGACCATGTACCTACAGCTATGAAGCACAAGTACTTCAAAAATAGTGCCGTACACGCACCGGGTACTTACCGGGTCCGGGTACGCGTACCGGTACGGCTGCACGCGTACCGGGTACGGCAAAAAGTAGTCGGGTACTTCTGCCTCAGTTGGGTACGGCATGGGTATGGCTCGGGTACAGCATGGGTACGCCTTTGGTGCGTTTTGGGTACGGCGGGGGCAGAAATCAAATTTTCTGAAAAATTGAGGGGTACCGGAGCAATATTGAGAAAAATTAAAAAAAGAAAAGAAAAGAAAAGATGTGTATACGAATGCCCTAATCTCATCACTTTTTTGCCCTAATCTCATCGAAGCAAAGAGAATAGGCGACTTCGACCATCACCCTCTTCTGCGACTTCGAAACAGAGATCGACTACGACCCTCACCCTCGTCTGCGACTTCGAAACAGAGATCGACTTCGACCCTAACACTCGTCTTCGACCCTCATCCTCGTCTGCGACTTCGAAACAGTGATCGACTTCGACCCTCACTCACCCTCGTCTTCGACATCGCCTTCGACTTCGACCCTCGGCTTCGACTTCGACGCAGAGATCACCCTCGTCTTCGACCCACGGCATCAGAGGTATATCTCTTCATCTTTATTTATTATTTTTTTTTCTTGTTTCTTCTTTAGTTATTAATACTGAAAATGCTAATAAATATTAATAATAAATATTAGAGATGAAAATGCTAATAATCATAAATACTAATAATCATAAATATTATTATTAGTTATTAATAATAAAAAATTAGAGATGAAAATGCTAATAATTATGGATCTTTTAACCATAATTATAAAAAATAAAAAATAAAAAAAAATATCGGCGTACCGCAGCCGTACCCGTACCCTACTTTTTTCGGGTTTTGCCATATCGGCGTACCCGTACTCGTACCTGTACCGTACTTGTACCCGCACTCGTGCTTCTTAGACCTACAGCATTTGAAGTAATAACAAGCAAAACTTCAAACTTAAAAGATCCTTAGATGTGAGCAATACCTGTATTTATTCAACTCTTCAAACAAAAGGATACATTGATCTTTGTCGAGAAACCCAAGATTCTGTTAACGCAGGAAGAACACCTCGTAAATGCAACCAGATAAACAAAAAAGACGAAGTCAATGCTGCTATTGAAACACACACACACACATGTACCTCAAACAAGAAATAAAGAGAGAGGAAACTATTGAAATGTCAAGCCTAAACAATCTATCATAGTCATGGCTGACCGTGAGTATTTGGGGGCCTAAGTGAAGCCCTAACACGAGGCCCAATATATATTCATAAAAACAAAAACAAAAATATTTTCTTACATCAATAATTATCAAAATAACATACTAAAATTCATTTGCATAGACAGCAAATTCAGTTAATAAAGAAAATAACAACACCAAAACAATCTAAAACTATAATATCAAATAGAAATTGAACAATATTCTATAAAGAACCCATGCATTTGGAAAACAACCATCTCTTAGTTTCAAATAATTCACCACGTCAATTGGCTTCTTGTGCAAGTAAAATACAAAATTCTTTGGACCTCGTATAAGGGCCACAAGTTTTTACGAGGCCCTAAATTTTAGCAAAAATTAAGGGATCCTAGGCGGCGGCCTTGCCCGCCTATGCCTATGGCCAGCCCAAATCATAGTGATTTGTACTTTGGAAAAGCAATAATTCCTCATGCTAAATAAATAATAATTAATAATTACTCTAATCAATGGCATGAGTACAATCTGCTAGTAAGTTTGGGTTAAGAAGTTGTTTGCGCCAAGTTCAAACCAACCAATTAGAGGGTGACACGTGGCGATAAATAGAGAGGTAAAATTGACCAATCAGAGGAAAGCGCATGGCAAGGCTAGAAGGGAAGCAAATATCAGGCAGTGGGAAGTGCCACATGGCAATTTGCAGCTTCAACTATAATCTAAATTAGAGAGCAAGACTGAAGAAGTTCAAGTTCAACCATTTCAAGGCAGTAACAAAGAAATAGCTAAGCCACACAGAATTCAAATTCAAAAGTTAAAGGAGGGGAAAAGCCCAATGAATATAGCTAAAATGGCAGAGATCATGAGGGTAAATCTCAGCAATTGCTGCGGATTCAAGGGACAGACCTATAAATAGCTGAAGTGAAGGACAGAGAAGCCCCCCAATAAATTCAACACTTATCAACTTCTTGTTTTTCTTTTTTCCTGCTCTGCACTTTACTTTCCATAGGAGTAGCCTTTGTAGCGTCCTGGGTCTTAAACCCGATTTGAAATCACTTGTAGGGATACCCTGGTACACTTTCGGACCCTCGTTTGATGAGTTGCACTTTGTTAAGTTGATTGAGTTGAAGTCGATGAACTTAGAGTCAGAATCGATCTCTGACCCAAATGTCAATATTGTAGAGCTCGATGAGGGCTTCAAGATCATCTAAGCCAAAAGTCAATTCGGTCCTTACCTTGAGAGTTGTTTTCTCCTATTCTCTTCAAGAGGTAGGGTTTCTTTTCATTAGTGTGATATGAGTTTGTTGGTGTATTTGTGGTATTTTGATAGAGAAATTTTTAGTTATTGTTGGGGTTTTTGAGACATAGCATGATAGGAAACTAGGGTTTGGTGATTGGGTGATGTTTCTCTATAATTTTCATAGCAAACCTATTTTATTATACAAACTTGCATGAGGGACCAAAAATTTGAGAAAAGGCCCAATTTGTGAAAAACCTTAAATGTTGAGATTTCATGAATTGAGAAATTGATAAGGAAGTATTGAAATTGATGATGTCAAATTAAATTTGAGATGTTATATTGAAATTGGGAAATTTATGAATATAATTTGTGAAATTATATTATTGCTACACATAATTATTTGGCCATTAGTGGAGAATGGCATTGTTGTAGTTATTGATACAATAGGATGATGAAAACCCATATTCCTGTTATCATTGAATTGTTGAATTTACGACAATGAAAACTCATCATTGAACGGAGGTACATGGAGCACATTATATGAGAATTGAACAATTGCTTGAGTTGCATTGATTTCCTCAAAACGCTTTGAATCAAATTGTGTAATGGTAATGAATCTGGATCATGTATAGATGAGATTGGAATTAATTTGGCTCGATAGTCCATGGTGAAAGACCGAAAACCCACACGGTGTAGGTGCCAAGGTCCTTCCGATTAGAAGCCGATAAATTTGGTGGGTTTAGGTGGCACTTAGCAATGGTCACTGGCAGAGTGTTGCTTCATATAGCACACTAGATTAGGTGGTTTTTAGCGATGACCACTGGCAGATACATGTACCTTAGAGGATTCATCGGGTTTAAGTTAATGAAGTTGAGAAATGTTCGTTTAGTGAGAAGCTTCGTTTTTGATCATTAAGATTGAAGAAACCCTTTCTAAAGAAATGTCAAACCCCTTTTAGCATGTTATACATATATATAGTATCACGATCATGTACATGTGTAAGAATATATTATCTTCTAAAATGTTACCCTACTAGACTATTTGTTCACCCTACATGGTTCAAATCTTTTTCAGGTATTAATGGTGTGCCCCGACCATGAGGTGAGGCATTGGATATGTATTTGAGCTGAGAGAGAGCTCTTTTGACTTGTAGGCCATGGGCCATCTATTTTGTAGGTTGTGTGCCATTTTTGTAAGGGTTGCACTCTTTTATTTGATGTATGCCTATTACATATAATATTTGTTGCTTCTGAAATACATACTATATATTCACTCCGCCTAGATGTTGAATATAGAATGTGTGTAACTGAAGAATCTCATGTAATGAACGATATTGATATACATCCATATATGAGAGAATCCTCTTTTATTATGTTTATTATTGTCTTTTCTTTTGTTATTTATGATTTATTCTCATGTGTCACATCTTGTAAATCCAGGGTGTGACAACCTTAAATTTGTAATTTCCTTGCTAGTTTTCACCTTCGAAGTTGCTAGAAGTGTAATTGAACTATTCAGTTAATCAATTACTCCATTTCGTCTGAGTCTCTTCCTCCCATTCTTTATTTAACTGTTAGTGCATTGAATTCTCTTTGTTTATCAATTGGTTCTCATCCGCCTAGATGTTGAATGTAGAATGTGTGTAACTGAAGAATCTCATGTAATGAATGATATTGATATACATCCATATATGAGAGAATCCTTTTTTATTATGTTTATTATTGTCTTTTCTTTTGTTATTTATGATTTATTCTCATGTGTCACATCTTGTAAATCCAGGGTGTGACAACCTTAAATTTGTAATTTCCTTACTAGTTTTCACCTTCGAAGTTGCTAGAAGTGTAATTGAACTATTCAGTTAATCAATTACTCTATTTCGTCTGAGTCTCTTCCTCCCATTCTTTATTTAACTGTTAGTGCATTGAATTCTCTTTGTTCATCAATTGGTTCTCACTTAAACACAAGCATTAAAGTCCTCTTCATTGAGGCAAAAGGAACCTTTCACAATCGCCTGGTCATTTATTTGGATTAATTAATATCTGTAACGATTTTTCAGTGGGCAATTCTACTTACACCACACTTTTTGTTTTTTTTTTGGGGGAGGTATATATTATAAAAAATGATGTGGGGTGAATACTTACACCACTTTTATGTCATTACACACTACTTTTTCTATTTTTTTATTACAATTTTATCGTCATATCAAATTACCAAAATAGACACAACCCTTAAAATTTTCTAACCTTAATTTCTCTAACACCCCCTCACCTCTCTCGCCAACATGGCGCCACCCCATTCACCTCCCCACCACAACACCACCGCCTCACTGACACCACCAACTCACCTCACCACCACAACATCACTGCATGCCACCATCTCTGTTGGAATGTGTCTCATATCACTTGGAATTGTCTCATCTGTACTGGTTATAAGGCTCCAGTTTCCCTCTCTTTTATACCTAGACTTTAAGGAGAAGTGTGGGCTAAATTTTTCAATTTGGTATCATAGCTTAGTTGAGCCTGTGACTAGTGTGCCATTTGTTCGGCTACTATAAGTCATGGTCCAAAAGAGTATGTTGGAATGTATTCCACATCGCCTGAAGTTACCCTATCTATGCTAATTATAAGGCTCCAGTTTCTCTCCTCTTAATACTTGGGTTTTAAGAAGAAGTATGGGCTAGGCTTTTTAATTATCTCCTCCATCTCCAACCAACTCCTGTAACTCCACGACCATTTCCAACAGTTGTCCCCCACCCCATGACCCTACCAATCAACCCCTATCTCCGTTGTGCCATCATTTGTTCCGCCGCTGCCCTCCTTCTGTCACTGCCTTTTTCCTTTTCCCATTTCTTCTTCTTCATGTTCTTCTTTTAGATCTGAAATAGATCTGCGTTCTTTTGCTTCTTCTTTCAGATCTAGGTTCTTTCTCTCTCTTCTTCTTTCAAATCTTAAACATATTTGCGTTCTCTCTCTCTCTCTCTCTCTCTCTCTCTCTCTCTCTCTATGCTTTGTCGGCGATGGAAGAGGGTGAAAGGCTTGGCTGCGATGGCGAGGTATGGGGGTTGGGCTGTGTGCAATGGGGCAATGGAGGGAATCGTTGGAGGGGGTTGCTTGAAGGGAGAGAGGAGGGTTTTACTAGGAGAAGATGGGTCGCCAGTTAGAAAGGAGGTGGGGGTTGAAGGCCGAAGTTAGTAGCAATGGCTACCAAAAACGCAGCAGTGGTTGCCGAAGGTGGTGGTTGGAGGACTTAAGGTTTGGAAGGTTGAGATGAAGGAGATGAGGGTATGTTTGGCATTATGAGAAGTGTAAAGAGAGTCAAATTTTGTATTTTTGAGTGTGGTGTAATAAGAAATTTGGTGTAATGAGTTAATTTTGTTCTGCAAGCAGAACTACCCTTTTTCCATCCGTGCAGACATGTGCAAATTTATATTTTTAACTTCGAGTTACCAAAAAAGCCAATAGAAGTCAATTAAAACCCTAATTTACATACATGCACAAAAATGCATGATAGGATTTCGTCTTCACAATTCAAGGGTATATCATGTTCCCAATATCTTAGGAGTACTGCGCCCTTTAACTGATGTTTCGAAATGTCAAACTATTTATACACATGAGAATTT